CTTTATTTTCAAGGTGGCCTGAACAGAGTGTTTTAGGGCAGCAAACCCTGGTCTCAGGCCACCTTGACTTTAGCTTGAAAACCACAGCTTTGAAGCCTCATGCGCGCCATACCAGAACTGTAGCTAATTGTAGCTACCCTGGGTCCGTATAAATAGTATGTTGCTATACCTCTTACACATCTATACAAGTTCAAAGCACGAATGAGACTTCAAGGCTGTGGATTGCTGTGCGTGTGTAGAGGTTCTCAAGCGGTTGACGGAAAGGGAACTTGAAGTACTATACCTGGTAGCTGCACTATAGCTACCCTAGGTCTCTCTACCTTGCAAGGTGCCAACTACACCTTTCCATTCAGATGATGCAAATGATGCATTTGGCATTTCTTGCATCACCACCCCTCAAAAATCACCTCCAACACAACCTCAAAAAACCTTCCCTTGGAGCACCCTCCTCCCCCAGCATGTGCTGAGTTTACGTGTACCTTTTGCGGGCCACCCCCCCAGACCCCCTAACTACTCACTTCGTTCGCCAGACACAACTCCGCTAGCGCCTTCTACGAAGGCTGGCTTTCGTAACAGTATAGTTGGATGGTCGTCGTTTTGCGGCCTCGGCCCGGGAGAGGGCCGGAAGAGGCTTGCTTGTGGGGACGAATCCTTGTAATTGATGTTAAGATGTTACACACTTCCTGGAACTAACATGGAAGTGGAGAAGGGCCCCTTGGAAGACCACTAATCCACTACAAACAGGTGGTTTTCCACTTCCATGTTAGTTCCGGGGAGAGTAAAGTTTCGAGCAACTTCACCTTTCCGCAGGCCTCTCCTATGCACGCTCCTACATGCGAATAAAAGGACCGGATAACCCCACATGATAAGTTTTACAAATTTCAATTGTATATGAACATCACATGGAAGACGGAGTAGTGAGATGAAAAGTCAAGAACGAAGTGTGAGGAGAGAAGGTATATGAGGCGGTTGTGCTAAGACGTGTAGTATAAGTGATGATGTGATGGACGAGGATGAGAAGGAGGGGAGGGAGGAGGTGTGCGTGTGTGTGTGTGGTAAGATGGCGTGCGTGTGTGTGTGTGTGGGTGTGTGATAAAGTGTCTGATGATGTGATGAACAAGGATGAGAGGGACGAGAGAGAGAGAGAGAAGGAGGCGGAGAGAGAAGTTTGGAGGCTCTGGATTTTGCGATCAGATCCGCATGAGACCTTCAAAACGTAACACACTCGAAACGACCATCAAAGCTATCAAGTGGTCTTATCCCGACCAGGGCGGGCAGTGCTAGCAGGATGTAAAGTGGAGTGAGTGAGTGGAGTGAGTGAGTGGAGTGAGTGAGTGGAGTGATGGAGTGAGTGGAGTGAGTGGAGTGGAGTGGAGTGGAGTGGAGTGGAGTGGAGTGGAGTGGA